CACAACATAGGAACTTTGATGAACAGAACCCTAGCATTTAAGTAGTAGTAATATATTATAAAATGTCCTTTATTTGAGCTGAGAAAAGGCAATATTGGGCTAGCACATGGAAAAGCAGTGGAGATAATCACCCCTTTATTTATCATGTGTATGCGCATAATGTTTTCATCCTTAAAAACCCTGTTTTAACTTACACTAGAACACCTAACGATCTTAATTTTATCCAGCCAATTTGTAAGTGCCAAAAACTTACTTCAACTTAAATTTATTAGTTATTGTCAGCGGTTGCTACTCCTGTCCTATTGAGACTGGTAACGGGTGGGTGCCAGGGAGCACTCGGACTTGCTAGAACCCACTCAATTTAGGGGAGAGAGTTTGGCAGCACTCCACAAAGACGAGGCACAGCGGCACAGTGCAGAGACACACTTCAAGCCTTGGAGCTTGGCACACATTGTCAGTCACATGGGAGGCCCAGTTAGTAAGCCAAGAGCAGGCTGTTAGGCCACTCAGGGTTGCAGCTGCTCACTGTGCCAATAGTTATGATTTCTATTGTTATGGATTCTTTCTAATTCGGTCTTGAGGTCTGTCTTGAGAGTGGCCACAAACCTAGATAGGCACTCTTTAGGGGCATGCTGGGGAGATCTGGGTTGGTCAGATGAGATGCCATGATGAGGTGAGACCAAAACACAGGAAATGGAAGAGCTTCACTACTTACTGACCACTGACAGCTTAGGGCCACGGATGTGGACAGCTGATGGGATATGTAAATGCACTGAGGATCTCAGCCAGTGGGTGGGGATTGAGAGACAGGACCATGGGACTCCGCCTCTGCTAAGGTCTGTGAGTGTTGCCCCTTAGGCTTTTCCAAGGGGGATGTAGACAGACTTCCTTACAGAAAAGATGTAAAGGCAGGAACTTATTTATATGCCTCTGTGTTAATCATTAGGTTTTATCATGTGGATGTGCTGGGTTTGGGGTCAGTGGGATGAGGCATAAAGAGGACTGTATTACAAACAACCATTCAGGGAAGGGAAGTTTTAACTAGGCCAAAGCAGACCCCTGGGTTTCAAACAATTTATGTCAGACCTAAAATGGATGCTGAGGCAGAAACTACAGCCATCCTCCCTTACCCACAGCTGCACTCACTATTCCCCCACAGTCATTTAATAATTGAATGGTTTCCTAATAATTTAAAATATTAGTATTTTCCTTCACTCTTTCAAGGGACCACATTCATATAACTTTTATTACAGTATATTATTATGTCAGACCTATTTTATTATTAGTTATTGTTAATCTCTTACTGTGCCTAATTTATAAATTATACTCATGAGTATGTATATGTAGGAAAAAGATGGTATACGTAGAGTTCTGTGTTATCTGCAGCTTCGGGCATAGACTTATCCAAAGATAAGGAGGATCTACTACACACTGGATAAATTTATGAGAACAGCTCTGCCTTACAGAATAATGAGATCATTCTGGTCTCCTAGAACTTTCTTTTGCCTGGTAATTTCCACAGCCTCAGGCAAGTGCTAAATGTCAATAATTTTCTTCAATGCTTAGTGTCTGCTGGCTCCAAAGAGAGGAAGGTGGAGCTGGTTTCACTTTCCTCCCCTGTAGCCTTGGGGAGGTATGAGTGGGATCTCTCCCATGAATGACAGATGATGGTGAGACATTATCAGGAAGATATCACTCTTGGCACTGGCTGTTTTTTTCCAGATGCATTTGAAATTATAGATAATTTGTCATTATAAAAATTTTACTTATGAAGTCCACTCCATTATATTAATAATTCAAATCCCTTTTAATAACATGATTTGACCCTATTTTTTATGGGAAAAGATTATTACCCAGGATTTATTATGTTAAGGAAGCACACATTTCCCTCTGCCTTCCACTCTAAATCATCCACTTTCTACTGACCTGCCATCAACACCAGCCAGCCCAGAGAGAGAGAGAGAGAGAGAGAGAGAGAGAGAGCGGGAGCAAGACCACAGAGCCCACTGATAGACCCATGGGAAATGATAAATAGTTGATGTTTTAAGCCATTAAGTTTTGAGCTGATTGCTTTAAACCATTTAAGGAAAGGGGGTTTACTTGCTTCATTTGTGCTGTCTTTGAAGTAGCTGGCACGTAGTGATGACATGACATTCATTCATTTTTACGTGAAAACCATTATGTTGAGTGCATATTATATATTGCTACCAGTTATACACGAACACATAGATGAATGGGTTTCCACAAGTAAAGATATACCTTCATATACCTTTGCTTTGCAGATTAATTCTGTTAGAAAAATAAGTGTGTAGTTTTTGAATGGGCAACCCTTTTTAAATATTTTAAGTATAGATAAGTAACTAGTAAGCAGAAAGTTTATTAGACATAAGGAGAATTCTTGGGATGTGTTATATATAAGATAAATGGTTAGCCAACACATATGTTAAACATAGATTGAGACAGATGGAAAGATCAAGAGATAGCTAATATTTATGACACCCCTGGACACTTGATATATATGAAATGGAGGCATATCTTATATATCACACTACACACAAGCACTTATTATTCATAGGTCTTAATTTAACCACCCATTGGTAACACTCATTCTGGTCCCAAGTGTCCTCTGCCCAAAAAACAAATAAAAACTCATGACTCTTTTCCAACACATTCCACTGACTTCACAATCTATATCCTTTGAGTCTTTCTGTTCTGTAACCTCTGGGGTAGCTTGCCTGTAATGGACATGGAGGCTGCCATTGCAACAAGGTCATTTCCCACATGACCCGTGAAAGGAAGAAAGAACAATTCCACTTGGTGAGCTCAATAGGTCCTAGAACTTCCATTATCTCAAAGGGTATTTACCAGCCATTGTTTCCTTCCTCTCCCCTCCAGCCCCTCTCCCTTTTCCTCTTCATTCCATACAGAGCTACTTCTTCCTCTGGCTGCAGAGAGCTGCAGGTAGGAATGTCTCTGGCTCAGTTACTCAGTTACTAGAGCACCAGCCAGAGCCTGACTTCTTCCAGCAGGGGTCTGAGGAGCCTGATGATGAAGTGAAACTTCCCTTTTACCCACTGATTGGAGGGTTATTTAGCAGCTGGGAGCCGAACAAAAATGGTGAGTCAGACTTTGGATCAATTTTCCTGAAATCTAAAGTTTGCTAAATGAATGATGATGGAATTCAGGAAAGAGTCAGATAAAGAGAGATACTTCTAAAATGTGAAGATACTTCTAAAATGTGAAGTTCCTATGCTTTTCACAAATTTAGCACTGTTGGTTCTAGTGGCATAGCATTGAAAAGACAGAGTAGGGTTGTTAGTTCCTACTGGCAGAGCCAGGGAAGGAAGCATGAATTCCCTTTTGGCATAAACTAGCTCCATTTTGAAAGGTCTCAGAGGAAGATTCCCCATCTTCCATCATAACCACTAGTCAAATTATGTCTACAAATAGGAAACTTGTATTAGCACATATATTCAGCATTCAAAAATATTTAGTGAGGACTTATGCTGTCAGACCCAAATCAGTAAATTAGGTAGACTTTTGTAGCCATTCCATATTAAAAAAATTGCTCCAGGGATAAGAATTATTTATGTCCCCTTTGGATTGTTCTAAGACATCATGAAGGTGACATACTGCAAAGCTGGGTGTCCCCTGGAAACTGAGGACTGATGACCCAAGGACTGATGACCAACTAGTATAGGTGAATTGTAAAGGGCAGAGGTGGGCTGGGCTGGCCAGCTTCTCAGATGTTGAAGCAAAGAGAAGTTGCTGTCCTGGCAGTTTACCTGTGCTCACAGATACGGTCAGGGAAATGATCCCATGGGTCCTGAAAGGTAACCTGACCATGGCAGGATAAAATGACCTGACGGGGGGGAGGGGGGGGGACAGGCATGCAGAGGCTAAGGAAGCAGCCAGAGGAAATATAATGTCTCACAACACGAACTGCAGCTGCGACAATGTAGGTGATGGGTGATGGTCTCTGAGAAACCAACACAAGGTCTTGGGAAAGAGCTTTGAATACCTCCTGAACCCAGGGAAAGCCCTTGAAATTTAGAAAGTCTAGAGAAAGAGTGGAGGGGCCAATCCTGCCCCCTCTTTTTGCAGCCAGCCTGAGCTGGGAAAGAACAACCGAACCTTGAATGAACTACAACCACTGCACATTCCAATTACTGAATTCACATCGGTTTTGTTACCTGAATGTTATCAGAGAAGATATGAAATTTACCATAAATTTCTAGGAGATAGGGGAAGATTCAATGTCATAGAATTTAAAGGGGTAGTAGGGAAAAAATGGCAAAGTTACTTTTGATTAGAACCATGGATTTTATTTGTTCATTTTATGGTCATACCAGTGCCAACTGAAATGATGTCTTTTAAATTTCTATGATTGTGCCCCTGCCCCACAGAGGAAATGTGTTTAAATATTTTTAATTCATATTATTTGGATATGTCATTATTAGTACGGCTCGTCTTGATTTCAATATTGTGAGAGTACAGCTGTTTTCAAGAGAGCATATTTTCATGTAAGTCAGCAAAATGACTTAGTAACACAATAGATCTTAAAGAGATAATCCTCAAGAAATGTAACTTGGATCCAAATTCTGGTTTTTCTATATTCATGACTGATAACGTTTTGTCTGTTTTCTGAGTAGTTCAACTGTATCATCTAATGTGGCTTTAACAACCTTTGCAAGTAGTAATTTTGGGCTATCTTTAGTACCCACATATTTAGTACCCACATATGTGCAGGTGTGTGCATGCATTGTTCCCAATGGATAGGATAGTGGAATAGACACACAAAAGAGGTTTCTAGCAAACACAGTGACTCTTGTAATCATACACCCTAATCAATGGACAGACGTGAGAGACTGCTAACTGGGTGCTCAGTATTCCACAGGCATCTGATGGAAAGTTTGGCAAAGGAAATGTGAATGTCAGTTAATTCTGCAACTCAGTTCAGAGAAAGTGTTTTAAGAGTCTAACATTTACTCCTGAAAATGTAATTATCTATTTTCTCTTGATGTTTGCCCAATCTGCAGCAATCCAGCTTCCTCAAACACCCCAGCCTGCCAACAATCTCCTTCAGACTGACTCTGTGTGGGAGTCTCATAGGTTTAATGAGCAAGTATTGCCACACATACATAAGAGGACACAAATCACATGTGTACAACTTGGTAAACTGTTGTAAAGGAAAAACATCCATATAACTAGATGATAGAAAAAGACAAATCACTGGAATCCCAGAAAACTTCTGCACCCTACACTACTGTACCCTCCCTGTTCCCCAGACGAAGACACGGTCCCCTTTGACTTGCCTGGTATATTATTAAATCCATTTGAGTTCCTAAGATCCGTTACTAAAGTGTTCAATTTCAGAATTCCCTTTTAATTTTTTAACATAGTCTCCTACTGAATTTCTCCATCCTGTCATGCAACTTCTTGAAGTTATTAACCATAGACACTTTAAATTCTGGGCCTGAGGACTCCCAACATTTAGCTAGCTCTTCTATAGGTCAGATTGTGTTGTCTGGTTTTTCTCTTGGTCTTAAGTCACTTCACCATTTCCCATTAAAGCTTTATAATTTGCTATATTGAATCTCAAATATTGGATATGAAAAATCCTGAATAAAATGCAAGGTTCTCAGTGGTGCTTCTTCCAGCAAACCATTTGGATAGAGATGGATCACCTTCATCTAACTATGAACTGAGCAATTTCAAACCTGAGCCATAACCATTGTAAGGGCTTATCCATTTCCAGTTTTTCCTGGTCCCAACTGTCTATCTTCCTTGTTAGATTACAAGTCCATTTTATTTCCCTCCAGTCTCCTCAACATGCTACTTTTCTTTTCCGTTTCTCAGTGTTGTTCATTTGGCAAATACCTTAAGGGATACAGCTGAGTGAATGCTGGGTTCCTGTCACAGTTCTTTTCTTCCCTCTGGGATGTTTGCCTAAGCTGTGGGTGCCCTGGTAGCTCCCTGTTGTTTCCAGGTGTTTAGTAATATTCTCTCCAGTGTTTCTAGTTGTTCCTGACAGGAGTGGTGGTCAGCAGAAAGCTGACAAAAGTGTTTTTAAAAATGCTTGTTGACATTTGTAGTCTCAAAACACAAGTTTTCTGATGTTTGAAAACAGTTTCTCTCTAGTAAATCGTACATTTAAAGATTTATTCGGGAATTCCTGCTCATTTCTTACAGTAGAGTTAGTTTCTGAATGACTTGCTCCAAAGTGTCGCCTGCCTCATTGTGAAATTGGAGCATCTAGTCAAGTCTCTCAACAAGCAGGTGGAGCCCAGTGATTCCCTGAGCTATTGCCATCCTTGAGGAGGAGGCTGGTTAATATACCCTCTGGTAAGCCTTCAGATATTTTTTACTAGTTGTGCTAGAACTTTTAAACCACAAATTAGGAATGGCCTTGAATTTACCCAGTTCAAAGCAAAAAGTAGTAAGGAGTACCTCATTTGAAACTAAGAAACTGCCAAGAAAGCGCCTTACTGATATTTTTCCTGAGCTTTTTTTTTATTTTCCCCTGTGCTTTTTATCTCTGTCAACCAACTTTCTTTTAATTATTTGTTCCCTCCGAAGTGACAGAATTGGGTCATTCCAAATCCTGTGTGGCAGATAAAACTGCTCTTGTGCAAGGCAGAGAAGGAGAAGCCTTTGAGTCCCAGGTGCTTTCAAAAGAACAAAATTAACATTCAAGGCTGCACTTGTCTAGATAGTGTGCCTCTTTCAGGAAATGGAAAAACTGGGTGTTTATTTATAACTCTCTTTGAAAAGAGCAGTGTTCATTTTTTATTAACAACAACAACCAAAAAAAAAAAAAAAAAGTTCTCTGTCCAACTTGTATTTTTCTTTTGGACCATTAAATTAACATTGATTGCAAATTAAGGGATATGTATAAACTCAAATGTCGGATAATATGATAAAGTTACTTGAGATAGCTGTTAAGGATAATCTGTTTTATTTATTTCAGCATACTTTGAGAACTTAGAATGTTCAAGAAGGCTTAAAAGATTTTGAGGGATGCAAAAATAAATAAAACAATTCATCTCAAAGAACTTACAATAAAACAACAGGCCAAATGTAAGTGAAATAAGAAAAATAGAAACAAAGGGTGACAATACAGAGTGGAAACCATTCATTTTTGTTTGGCAAAGGAAAAGATATAAGAGTGAAATATGAACTGGATCATGAAGGTTAAGTAAGTTTCACCAAACTCATCTTTTAAAAAATCTCTTTTCCAGGAAGTAGTTCCTAATGTTTCCTTGAGCTGTCCTGACCCTCCCTCTCCAAACACCAATTCCTTAGAAGCCTTCTTTCTTTTGGACATATCTTCTACCTGTAGCTTACTTTTTGGTAGATAGGTCTTTCTGAACCAAACTATAAAACCTTTGAAGAGCTTCTACAGCCTGATATGGGGCTAACACTGTTCCAGCCAACAGTAAACATTCATAAGCGTTTGTTTAAATTGTTAGCTAATTAACTAATTAATTTATGGAGAAATTAAAAAGAAAAGAGAGCAAAGATTCTAGTTTCATAGTTATTACAGGGTTGGATCCCCAGGAAGTAGATTCTGATTGCACATTGAAATCACCCAATGAGGTGTTTTTTTTTCCCAAAATAACACTATATAATGAAAATTTTGAAACATTTACAAAAGTAGATTGAAAACACAATAAAGCTCAGGTACACATCACCCAATTTCAACAACTATGGCTAATCTCATTTTATCAATACCTCCATGTTATACTATTCTCTCCTCCATATTATGTAGAAATTTGCAATAAATTAGAGATATGGTTTTTTAAATGCTGTTGCCTAGAGATTCTAATTTAAATGGATTATAGAGTGGGTTGAGGTTACTCACATGATTCTAATGTGTACCCAAGATTGGGAAGCTCTGGCATGCAACAGCATGAACACATTTAGTTGAAGCATGTGTTAAGCAATTTCCAGGTGAACTCAAGGATTAGTGATTTTTCCTATCTTGCCAGAACTTATTTAATACCTGAGATAATAATCAAATCAGCAGTAAAAAGAGTCATATTTGGTGAGGAAGTAAGATCAGTATTAACCTGCTGTGCAGAATTTAAATTTTAACTCTGAAGTTTACTCTCAAT